TTCAAAATGTAAATTTTGAATATATTAGAATTAAAATTTACTTTTAAATTAAATAATAATTTATAGATTTCCTGATATTAATTATATTAAATATATTTCGTCGTGATGTYAGCACGATAAAACATATAATTCCATAAGCTTCAAATTAATATATAAATATACACATTATATAGGCACTGGGGGGGATATATCCCCCTCCCCCTCCCCTTAATTACGCCCCTGCTCTACGATAACGGCCCAAATACCTGCACTGAAAGGATTATTATGTTTGCCACTGATATAGGATTGTCCTTATTATCTGRGTCGGATACATGATTTAGCGATGGAAACTTTGGCCTTGCGCCTCAACTTTTTAAACAATTATAATATGTGAAACGTGTACAAAAAAATCAGTGTTTATWAGGTACAGCTGTTTATTATATTATTGAGCGCAAAACTCAAGCTACATACTTACGAGGAAATGTTTAATATTTTAATAAATGAATGTAAAACCCGCGATGTGTACCCAGCTCCAAGATATACTTACACTTGGATTTTGAATTAGCTGTAATAAATGCCGCTAAAAATATTTTAGGAAACCACATTACGACAAATGGATGTTTTTATCATTTATGTCAGTCGACTCATAGAAAATTACAAAAACTTGGTTTGGCAACCATTTACAAAGAAGATGATTTTCGAAAGTATTGTGGCATGGTCGATGGTTTAGCTTTTCTACCTCTGGATAAAGTGATAGATGGAAGAACGTGCTTGAAAGAAAATATACCACTCCATGCAAAAGAGCTTTTGTTTTATTTTGATAATTAATATGTAAGTGGTAAATATAGGCGAGTAGGAACTGMTTAGTTCTAGCGYTTGCGTAAAATACCTCGCCATATTTCCACCGTCCGTGGAATGTACATGAATTAACATTAAAAGGTGAGAATCGCACTAACAATAACACAGAGGGTTGGAATAACCGCTTTTCAAAACTCTGTGCTAATAAGTATCCTACAATTTGGAATTTAATAAAAAAAAAAGGAAAATGGAAGTTGCTGCAGACCAAGCAAAATTGGCGTTAAGTAATGYAGGAGAATATGCAAGTACAAAACTTGGTACAAAACAACTTASTGAAAACCGCTTAAAAAATGTATGTGTGCAAATTAAAAATAACGAGATAAGTATATATATCATTGGATTTTCTAAAGGCAGTTAGCCACAACATTAGAAAGCAAAGCTACTAAATTATTTTATATTTTTATTGCAGCTATACTGCTATATTTTATAATAAGTATTAGGTACATGTTAAGAAATGTTATTTAATTCATTATTATAATATTATATGTTTTGATTTATGGTTTATATTTTATGATTTTTTAACTGTGATATAATTTGTTAGTTATTGTTTAATGCTATATACTAGATTTAATTTTTTTTATAGTTACCTTTCAATACAATAAATATATCACCTATACTATAATAAATTACTAATTAGATACATAATACTATAGTAAAATAATTTAATAATTAGTGAAAAACAATAAATAATAAACATATTGATAAAAAACTAGTATTTTATTATATTATATTTATGGTTATAGAGTTCAAGAAGTGTTAAGTAAAAATAGGTATAAAATATAGGTATTATAGGTACCTATATTGATTAAAAATTAAAAATTATAAAATGTACACTATAGTAAAAATGTGTTATGAATTTAGTTGGGGCTTTTTTTTTTTTTATAGCCGAGGCTTTTTTTACCGTATATTGATATTGGGGCTTTTTTTTCCTAGATTCACTGTGAGTCCGACAATTAAATAATATAGATTGTTCAAACTGGTAACCATTATTCCAGGAACAACCGGGTACACCGGACTGGGCGGACTGCGTATTATTAACATAGATAATATATAGTAAATGTATAATATAGTATACCTAATATAATATATTATATAACGTAAAATCGCCAACTTTGGAAGGTTATAACTTCCAAAATAATGGTTTCCGGAAAAAAAAATACACCATCGTTTTAAGCATAAAAAAACAAGTCGTCTGAAAAAAAAATTGAAAATCGTGAGGGGGTGGTGGTAAAGTGCATTTGTTCCTTGATAACATAATAACTATCATAAGTTTTAATTATCAATCATATTATATATCTTTATACTATAGATAATATCACCAACGACACCAACTATATATAATATATATAAATATTTAAATATTTTATTCGTGGATAATATTATATTCACGATTAACTAACTTAAGTTAATCATGATTATATTATTATCAATTATTATCTATGCTTCAAAACAACATTTTGTATTTGTTATTCTTATCAATCCTAACTTATCATAATAAATAATACAAGTGCAATATAGGTAGTCAGATYATACTCTATTGTAATAGAAGGTAGTATAGACTATAGTTGGTTTACTGTAAACTTGCTATTATAGTTAGTAGTTCGGAAACGTTGAGAGGCGCTATTCGTTAATGAGACTATACCGTCAGGCTGTTCCTTAGTTAAATATTTCATTTTATACATTTGTTTACAGTTCATAATTTCGTATAATGAATACTTCCACACAATACAGCATGCGTTGGGACGACTTTTCATCCCATTTCACAAACGAATTTGTGTCTCTACGGAATGATGAACAATTCGTCGATGTTACTTTATGTTGCGACGATCAATTCATCAAAGCTCACAAAGTTATTTTATCAGCATGCAGCCCTTATTTTAAAAAAATACTCATGGTAAAGTTCACGTTTATTTGAATGATTAATTGAAATTGAAATACATTTTTATAACTAATTATAATTATTAATACCTACAGATGAATCCATCAAAACATGTCACAGTTATTATGCACAACGTGGAATATGAACTCATGAAGACTTTAGTTGACTTTATGTATTTGGGAGAAGTACTTGTAAATCAAAATAATGTTGATAGATTTTTTAAATTAGCCAAAACATTTAACATAAAAGGATTTCAAAATGGATTCAATAAAAATGAAGTTAGTATTCAGATATAAGCTTGAACAATTGGTAACTTCAACCATCCACCTTTTAAGATTTCATMTGCCAAATTTAAGAACAGCAAAATAATTCCTCTTTAATTATGAATATATATTATATATTTTTAATTTTTTCAACTCAGTGATAAAGCTATTTAGCTGCAATAAATCATTGATTAATATAAATATACTAAATATATTTTAATAATAACAATGCTGCTWTAAAGATAGTTCTATAATATGCAATTTATAAAACAAATTACTGTAGGATTAAAAAAACAGTTTTGCTAAATAATATATTGGTATACTTTAAAAAAAAAAATRTAAATTGYGTATTATTAAATAAAAATTTATAATTGTCTAACTTTTTTTTCAGACTTCAATTTTGCCATCTTTATGTGAAAATGTTGAGCAAGATGTGCCAAAAAATGATGTTATTGATTCAATGGACAACCATGATGATGGATTATTTGCTAATCAACTAGATCAACTCAATCAACTTGTAAATCCCAATGAAATAATTGTATGTTGTAATTAATTAATTAAATATTCAAAATGTATGTTAATATTTTTTATGTATTGCAGAAACGAAGGAAAATAGAAACAAATTATTGGCAACAATCTTCTGAATCAACTCCATCAACACAACCAGARAAACAGAGGTGTCATTCTTTGGATCCACGGCCATGTCCAGAATGTGGACGTCAATATAGCAGTTTATCCAACTTAAGGCAGCACATTGAATTAATTCATAAACCTGGTTGTGTTGTTTGTCCTTTATGTGGTAAAACATTCAAAAATAAGCTTTATCTACGGCGGCATTTTATAAGTTTTCATGAAATGTTACCATCCAAAGTACAAAATACATCTGACCCAGGTACACCTTACACTTCAAATCCATTACATTATCAATCTGATCAAAACCAACAAAGAATACAAATAAAAGAACAGTCTAATAGCCAACAATTAAGTTCTACTTGTTTTGATCAAAGTATACATCCACGATAAGTAGAGTTAAATKACAAATTATCATATAAAGTTGCTTTTTTTTAATGATTGTTAATGTATTATTATTAAGGCTGAGGACATGTAGCTCTAAAAATCACCAAATATGCACTTAAATATAGTTTTAAAAAAATAATTCTTCTGTAGGTACCAATTATTTTAATGAATAAATTGTATTTAAATTATAAGTACAATTTACAAGTTACAATAAGTATTGTATTATTTTGGTTAATTGTATGAGTTTTCAGATACTTCTTATTACTATACTTCTAAGAACCCATCAATCAATTTAGTAAGCAACTCTCGAGACATGTTTTTAGGAAAAACTTGCGTCTGTGAAAAGTTAACAACCATATTAATATTTTGATCAAAATTTTAAATAATTTTAAATTCAACATTTAAAATATGCATCAAAAAGTATAAATTGGAAGAAATATGACCTTAAAACCGAAAAAAAATCTTAACATATGCATTTATATGCAAAATAAAATCTCAAAACTAGCTTTGTGAAAGCATGAAATGTTTTTGTTTCGTACTCTGTTATCTTTGTGACTGTGCAAAATAATATGCAAATGCTACAAGTCCTCTTCTCTAATTATTATTGAGTATTATCAAAGGCCACATGCTTAAGTGTCTTATTGTAAATTAATTATTGGCTTTTTATGTGCAATTATATTAAATGTAAATACTTTATTCTTTCTTAAAAAGTATGCTATTTTTGAAGGCACATATTCAGCAAGTTTATATAGCCCAAATCCCCCAGAAAATTTAATGATATACATTTTTTGTTTTTTAAAGTATTAAAATATTTAGAATCAAAACAAATCATCTTAAGTAAAATTCTGACTATGTGCCTGATTTCATGATCTCTAAATTAAGTATTACA